ACTACATCTCATGACTGCCTTTTCCCATTAAGAATTTTTTCTTTTGTGGCAGGCCACAAGCCTGCCTGTGCCTGGCCAATAATTAAACAGGTACATATATCTTAGTATCTGTCCCCTAATATCAATGTGGCCCCTAACAACCAATCCCTCCCCTGTCCCCATCACTAACCACATTGGCCAAAAAAGTTACTCTAATCCCTTCTAACAACATTAGAGATACCCACAGAAGTGGCCACCAGGGTGGGAAAACTGACCTATAAAGCTTGTCACAGGGCCTATAGGAGAACCACCATGAAATCTCACAATACCTAGCCAATGGGACCATTCCTGTTCTTTATTATGATACACATTATCCAAAAAAACAACCCAAAACCTCCCCCAACACCAGGTAGAGAACATCCTTCTACAAATCAATCAGTTGATCAATCAATCACCAAAAAATCCCTCACAGGGGAAAAAACATAACCCTAAGCAACGGTCCAACACAACAGAATGTGACTGCGCTTCCCAATCTTTCCTTCTATCATGTCTGGGTGGGGGTATATATACTACATCACAGCTCTGCTGCTCTGTGGTCTGAGCAGCTCTCCAGGATTGTAAACTCAGCACCGGTAAAGGTTTTAAAGGGACTAAGTTTAAAAGGGAAAACAGACCCCGGGAAGAGAAAAGTAAACACCACCTGAGATTCGGCCATGCTGGGACTCGGAGGAGCCAACCAACAAGCCAACTAGTCAGCCTGGGGGTGGGGGGAGCCAGGAAAAGAAAAGTCAGGTATCTCCTCCAGTAAGCCTACCTACACTCAGGCTGAGAATCCCCCACCCCTGTAAGCAACCAGCTGGTTCCAAGGTCAGGTTGAGTTTACAGCATTTGAGGTACAAAGAGCAACTGACTTTTTGTGTTGTTTGGTTGACTTTGTAAGCCTGGGGCCAGTTGTATGAGCATCTATTAGGAGGATAACCGTATGCACTATAGCAAATACGGGGGATTTCCTTCCATCTTGTATTTATTTATTTATTTATTTATTTATTTATTTTTGGTACTGGGGATCAAACCCCCATACTTGCCAGGCAGGTGCTTATGCTGCTGAACCATATCATCAGCCCCTCCATCTTGTTTTTGAAATACAATATTGTCCTGTTTTGTTTTGTTGTGATTGTTTTACTTTATTCAGTGTTCTGTTTTGATGGGTTTTATTCTGTTTTGTTGTGGTTTGATTTTACTGTATCTGATGGAATGGACAACTGTTGTGAAGATGGCAAGATATACTATGTGGTCATTGTTTTCCTGTTATCCTGCTTCAAAGTCCCGTACCAATTTCACTTTTTGATTGGATTTATTCTGTTTTGTTTTGCTGGGTTTTATTATCTTTAAAATAAAATTTTAAAGAGTCAAAAAGAAAACGGAAAACAAAGAAACATTATTTGAAAGAAAGAAAAGAAATGGTACAGAAACCTACCCTCTGCTCCAGAAAGATGGGGAACCTGCCGGCCCTTCGATTTCAGCTGTTTTACTGGATGCCAGAGCCCTTTCCCCTACTTGGACCTTGTCATAACCCTATTGGTTCTCTCAGTTGTCATAGATGGATCTTAGGCCCCAAGACCACTAATGCCTCATCGCACACTCCTACGTGGTCTTTTTTTTTTTTTTTTCTTTTAATATTTACTGAGGGTCTATAAAATGCATCAAAATTTTCAACATCGACTGGTTTTCGGTATACAAAGTCTATAAAAGAACATCAAAAATAAATTCATATATGAATGACAATATCAATAGTATTCTATAAAGAATAATGCTTACTTCAATTATTACACCTAGGCAGTCTTCACACATGACAACAACACATTTCACACACATGCATTGCTTACGTTGACAGTATATAACTTTTACCTACTTGACCTTTTTGTAGGACATACTTGACATGTCCGTGGTCTTCCTGTTTTATTAGGAGGCTCTAATTACACAGAATATAGTTAACAGACGCATAAAATATTGATATGATAAATTAGTAAATTCTTAATATGTATTATGCATTTTTTTTTATTTAAGAGGAAAAAGAGAAAAACACAAAACAAACCAAAGCGGCGTAAGGGTACACGCAATACAGAACTACAAAACAAAACAAAACAAAGCAAAACAAAACAAAAAAAATAACAGTAAGAAATTACCTGCTAGTAGATTACACACTATCTTCTTGAAAATAGTTCCTCAAATCACAGTATCAAAGAACACAAGGTGGACATTCAAACAGGGAGACTGCAAACAGCTGTGTTCAATGTTCCAAAAACATTGATAAAGTCAGCTATTTAACACCCGCAAACACACTTGCTGTTATATCCGTTAGAGCTCTTTTTCTTTTTTTTTTCCCTCTCTTTTTTACAACAAAATTTACACATCTTGGATTTTATTACTCCTTAATGCTTATTACTTTCTTTGGGGGGGGGGAAGAATACAGTCAAATATGGCAAAACAAAGCTGTCAGTCAATACCAAGGATTGACATAGCACATGGTGTAGAACAGAGTACAAGTTTATCAACAATGGTTATCAACGTTGTCCCTTGTTTCCTTAAAAAGAATTGTCTATCTTATTAGATATTATAAAGTTGGACAAAACAGTAGAGAACAAGACCAATAAAACTTCCTACATGGTCTTTATTTGATTTTCTCTTGCCTGTCAGGCCCTATCTCTAGAATTTATAGGTTGGTTAAGAAGGACCTGACATGCAAGCAGTTAAGTAAAGAGAAACATAGTGAGAGAATATATGTGTGTGCGTATTTGTATATATTAAATAAGAGCTGTCTTTTAAGTGGGTACCCCTTGTCTTCTTTGCATTTTATTGATGGGGTGGGGCTGCTAAGCTAACTTGGTTAGGGCACTTGCCCTGTTTATTAGCTTTCTCTTATCTTATTAACAGCTCCCTTAGTAAAGCCAGGATTAGCCAAAAAGCCCAATGAGGCCCTTATTTTATCTTTCTTCCTATAGATAGACTCTTCTCCCCTACACTTCCTTGACCCCAACATTCTTTTTTTTCTATTTCTTTATAACAAAATATTGAATTATTAGTTTAAAGCCCTCCAAGCCCGACAGCAGTTTAACTTCTATATAGGTTTAAAGCCAGCTAACTTTCTTTTTCCATCCCTTCTACCAAGTGGGGCCCAAGCTCCACCCCACCGCACACCCCAGACATAAAAGCTGTGGTCCTGTCTCTTGAAGGCAGGCTGAAGCCACACTTCAGACCTCTAACTGTTTGCTGTCTACTTGTGCTAATAAATCTGCCTCTATTGGTGGTATCTGAGTCTTAAATCTATCTAAACATTTTCTCTTTGTAATACTAAGAGCTAACATTTATTGAGTACTTACTATGTGACAGGTACTAAGAGTTTATTACATACTGTATTCATTCCCTCATTTTTGTTCCTATTTTATAGATGGCAGCATGGAGACACAAAAGGTTAAAGCAAGACTCACAATCATCAATCATCAAGTGTCAAAGCTGGGATTTGAAAACTAATCCATTGTCAACCACTGTTAAAATTCTTTATTTATTTATTTTGTACTGGAGATCAAATTCATAATCTTGCATTTGACAGGCAGACTGTGTCACTTTGCTATATCCCCAGCCGTGTGTTAAAATTCTTATGAGGTAGAAGTTCCAAAAATTCTCAAGGCAAAGAGAAGGGCGTAAGCACTAACACCAGACAAAGGGCAAAAGAATCAGCAGCAAGTTAAGTTTATCTTTCTTCTGATAATGTTACCCTGTGGGAGGCTGCAAATGCTAGAAAACTTAAAAATGTTTTTTGAATAGAATATTTCCCACCTTTTAAAATAAGCTTTATTCATAATGTACATCTGAGATTTATTTTAATTGTACATATTTCCGTGTACAGTACAATAATTCAGTACAAGCATACAATATATAGTGATCAAAGCAGGATAATGGCATTTTTATCACCTTAAACATTTTTTTTATATTTGGGATTCATACTGGAGCTTTCTACACTGTCTAGCTTGGCAACAAAACAAAAACAGAAATCTCCAAAGGTCAAGTCAGTCATACAAAACTTGGTTATATTTTTAGACACGCCCAAACTCACAAAGATCTTTCACCTGAAAATGTGTTAAGATTTTAAGATATGGTTATCTGAATAAGATTATTTTCCCACTGGCTTATTTTTAAAAAAAGACTGAAAAGGACTCATTATCAAAATACTTATGCTTCATGCTTTACATCAAGTAGTCAACGGGAGGAATTCTTTCTTCCAGAGCAAAGGAAGTGTGAGATTTGAGAACTTGGCCCTTGGTACCCAGCAGACTTTCTGCCTTTGACTCTCATCATCTCACTACATAACATATTTCAGAGTCTTACACACACCTCAGAGAAGGACAGGACCTGAACTGATGCGTTACAAGCACCTCGCACGTAGAAGACAATAATCGCTTGCTATGGAGTAAATGTTTCATATTGAAGGTATTATCTCGGTCATGCATCCGTACAAAACAAAAGTGTGCATCATAACTTGTTTGTTTGAGACAGGGTCTTGCTAAGTAGTTCAGGCTGGCGTTGAATTCACTATGTAGTCCAGGCTGGCCTCAGCCTCTCGTTATCACGCCTGGTTTATTCCTGAAATTTGTCTATTTTAGGCTCGCAATTTGAGATGATCGTTAAAGCTTGAAAGCAAAACTAGCCTCCCTCCAAGTCTGAGCTGAAGTGGATTCACTCAGTTGCGCCCATAGCTTCTCAGCAGGGAACTGCAAAACCAAAAAGTGTTATTTTGGTGCTAGGGACCCGTTTACTCTCAGCCCCGCCCCCGCCCAGCGGCCCCGCCCCCGCCCTGATCCAGTCCCTAAAGGGCTGCATCTCCCATTAGTCTCTTCGGCTGCCACTCTTCATAGGAAAACATCTGAACCACTATTAAAATACGAGTCCCTAAAAGAAAATAAAAAGAAAGTCCCTTTGGGCCACGGGCATGAGTGCCCAACGGAAGGCGGGACTTCCGGCCTCTCGGCGTTCGTCAGTCAGGAGCCGGAAGCGCGGTGGGGCGGGAAGGTTGTATCCCTGCGCTAGCGCTGCTTTTACGCTAGTGGTGGCGCCGCCGCCCCGACAGTCGCCTTGATAGTCGCCTCGACAGTGAGGCCCCCAGAGCGTCCTCGTGTCCCAGGTAAGTAGGACAAGAAGCTGAAGAGTGTGGCCCTGGCACTGACCTCCCGTTGCCGTCTTTGTTGCCACGGGGAAGCGACCTCCCGCCGCCCTAACCGGGCTTCAGTCGCCCCGTGTCATCCGCAGCAGACATGGACGATTCATTTACTTAAAACTGGCGTCTGTTTTCTAGCCCATTTCTCCTTGGCTGTCCCGAGGGAATCAAGCGTCGCTCCAGTTAAAAATAAAAAATAAAAAAGATCGCTGCCTGTAAAGCACTTCATTTTTTTTCCTTTTTCTTTTCAGTATGCGGGATTGAACCCAGGGCCTTCTCACAGCGTTACATCTCTAGCCTTTTTTATTTTTTATTTTGAGGCAGGGTCGTGCTAAATTGCCAACGACCGGGCTGGAGCTTACCAGCTTGCTGTTTCAGTGGCAGGGTGTGCACCACCACGCCCGACTGGAAGCTTTTTGGCATGGTTGCTGAATATTCTTTTCCTGCTGTGTTCTATGTTCATTGAAAGTAGGAGTGTAGAATCTTGCCTACTTGGGATCTCTTACAAAAGTAGAAAGCGTCTAAACCAACAGCCTAAACTGTTTTACTAGCTTTATGACAGTGGACATCCACACATATAAAATGATCATAAGTAAGTAAAAGAACCAATTTCAAGTGTGTACATAGTGTACGATAGAGAGCGGGCACTTGATAAATAATCGGCCCTATTTTAGGTTTCAATGCACAGTAATTACTGTGTGTATATGTTTTCAAATGAGTGGAGAAAAAACTGCAAAAAGGCTAGCAATTAATAACTTTCAATTAACAATTAAAGTATGGTACATTTTACATGTGTGTCCATATATTTTTTTACAGGTAATGGTAAAGGATTGATTTGCTACTGAGCTCAAACTGAAGCAAAACAGGAAGATGGCGGCAAACTCTTCAGGACAAGGTAATGCATGTGGGAATTTCCGATATTACTAGAAACTTTTCAACATACAGTAAATGCATTTGGATTATAAAACATTTAGTATAGGGCAGTTACAGTAGTCCGAATTTAAAAATGAGTAACAGAGTAAAACACCAAATTTGAAATCAGCCCAGTGTTTTGTCACATGCACAATATCGTTAATATTATTAATCCTATATTTCCACTGATGTTAAGATTATTTACATATGTTGTAAACCTCTTGACATCTGTGTACTTTTTTTTTTACTTGAAGCCAGAATCACTTTTACATTGTCATCAGACAGTAGCCATGCCTTTGTCTTCATCATTCTAAAAACTTTCACACACATTTTACTTGTGTTAAAATATCTCTCACCAAATCAAGCTAGATACATGAGTTGCTTTTTATTTTAAAATGTTTTATTGTTTTCATTCATTGGTTGGAATGATTTTATTCTGTTTTGTTTCATTTTATTATGTGTGATGGTATGAACAGCTACTTTGAAGAAAACAAGACATTATGGCAGCCATTGCTGATTTAATATCATCTTGCTTTGAAGTCCTACCATGCTCTTGTTCTTCTATTTCTATTGGTTCTATCATGTTGTGTCTTACTGGATTTTAATATGTGTGATAGTATAAACAAATTTTTTATGGAAAATGAGATATTACAGTAGCCATTGTACATTTTCTGCTATTTGGTTTTGAATGTCATGTAATACTTTCATTCTCTTGAATGGTTTTATACTATTTTGTTATGTTTGATATGTGACGGTATACTTAACTATTTCAAAGAAAGAGACATTATGGTAGCTACTGTTAATATCCAGTTGTCTTGTGGTGAGGTACTGTGTTACTTACATTGTTCTGTTCTGATTTGCTTTGTTCTGTCCTCTTTTGTTTTATTCTCTTCAAAATAAAATTTAAAAAATTAAAAATAAAATGTTTTATGAAAGAAATAGTCTCTAGAATACTAAATTGCACTTTGTATTTTCCTGTTTAAAACTTGAAGTAGGCCTCTTGTTTCCTTTCTTTATCAAGTCTGAACTTACTTGATTTTTATGCACGAGTATGATAGAAAGATACAGTGTTTTTTTTTGTTGTTGGTTTTTTTTTTTTTGTCTTTTTCCTTTTTATCGGTACCAGGGCTCGAACTCATGACTGCCTGCTTGCAAGGCAGGCGCTTATGACGCTGAGCTAAATCCCCAGCCCCAGATACAGTGTTTTTTAAAAAGCTTTGTAAATTTTATTACTCAGCCTAGAGAAAATATATCAGGAAATACTGATTTTACAAAATCTATGGAAGAAATGAGATAGAAAAATGAATGTGCTTACAAAGCTTTGGGGTTTTTTTTGTTGTTGTTTACTTTAAAGAGAATAAAGACTAACAAAACAAAGAACAAAGTCAATCAAAATAATCAAAGTGATACAGAATTTCAAAATAGAATTATAGGAAATCAGCAATGGCCACCATACTGCCTCTTGTTATCTTCAACAGTGCTGCACATACCATGAGACATAGTAGAGTCAAATAAAACAAAACAGAATGAAATCAATCAAAACAGAACATTGAATAAAACAAAACAATAAAATGAAATGAAATAAAACTTAGAACATTATTGGATTTCAAAAACAAGACAAAAGAAAATCCCCCATATTTGCTATATTGCATAATGTTATCCTCTTAATAGATGCTCAGTCTACAGGCCTTAGGCCTATAAAATCAATCAAACAATACAAGCAGTAAGTTGCTTTTGTGCCTTAGTTGCTATCAGCTCAGCCTGTCCTCCAAATCAGCTGGTTGCCTAAGGAGGGTAGGGGTGTTGTTTTGTCTCTCAGCCTATATCTTGGCTCACTGGAAGGGCGAACTGACTTTTTGTGGTACTCCTCCCAGACCCAGCATGGCTTCTGCTGACTCACAGGAAGGGCTAATTGGCTTCTTGTTATACTCCTCCCAGTGCCAGCATGGCTTCCACTGACCTGAATGTTTAAATTAAGTGATTTATTACATTTTACAGTAAAAGACATTGTCACTAATTTCCCTCAGAATACTTCCCCTTCGAACTCACCACTTTCTAAATCTGTTCTGGAAGACCTTCTTTGTGAGTGTCTTTAGTTGGGGCTGTTGTGGCTTCTTTGATATCCTGAATCAATTCAAAACATTTACCTTTCATGGTCATTTTAACTTTGGGGAAGAGCCAGAAGTCACACAATACCACATCCCGTAAACAAGGTGGATAAGGACACACCATAATTTTTTTTTGAGACAGCGCTGTAGTGTAGGCTGGCCTTAAACTCATGTAGCTGAGACTGGCCCCTAACTCAAGGTGATCCTCCTGCCTCAGACTCCCAAGTGCTGGGATTATAGGCATTGTCACCATGCCCAGTGCACCATAATATTTTTATAAACCTGCTTTTCTGTTGAATGGCACTTGACAGTGATATTCAACTTATTTTTTAATCATAACCTTTTAAAGACACAAAAGAGGACATCCAGAACTGAGGTAACTTTGAAGTGAAGAGTATTTTGATGGAGTTAATGGCAGTACGTCTTTTCCTATAACACATTTTTAAAAATTAAACATTCAGGCTGAGTATGGTGACCCATGCCTATAATCCTAGCACTCAGAAGGCTGAGGCAGGAGGATCATTACAAGTTCGAGACCAGCCTGGGCTACAAAGTGAGCTCAAGGCGAGCCTGAACTGCATAGTGAGACCCTGTCTCAAAAAGACAAAACAAGAAAAAAATTAAACATTAACTGAAATCTTAAATTACCCTTTGTATGTTTGACCCATCATCATTTCTAAAATTATTTTTCTCTGTTCTTGTTTTGAAATTTTTTTTTTAATTTTTTTTTCTTTTTCTTTTTTTTTTTTTTTTTTGGTCTGGGGATTTAGCTCAGCGGCATAAGCACCTGCCTTCTTTAAAATTTTTAAAAAATTATTTTTTTCTGTTCTGATCTGTTGAGTTTTGTTGTTTTGGGGTTTTTGTTTTTGTTTTTTGCGTCAATGTTTGCTGTGTAGTTCAGGATGGCCTTGAACTCATTATGTTGCAGAGACTGGCCTGGAACTCATGTAAATACTCCTGCCTCAGCCTCTCAAGAGCTGGGCTTACAGGTGTGTGTCAGTATGTCTGGCGGAGTTTTGTTTTTAATGTTAACTTTGCCTTATCTTAAACATAGTAAGACAGTCATAAAGTGTGTGTATATGTATATATATATTTGGTATAACTTCTTGCACCATATTTCCTATAAAATTTATGTTTTGTGTGGATCAGTATTGCATCACAGTTTATTGTGTATAAGTATATCATAGTTTATCCTTCTCTTTGTGGGCTTTGAGATTGTCTCAGTTTTGGCCATTGTGAATAAAACTGTTTTATAAGTTCTTTTGTAGATACACATTTTATTACTCAATAAATATCTAGGAAAGGTTAGTGCCAACCCTTTTCCAAAAAAGTTGTTCCATTTTACAGCCCTCTTAGAGATGTGTGAGAATTATGTTTACTGCACATTTAGCGCTGTCAGTGTTCATTTTCACCACTATTGGATGTAAAGACATCCTATAATAAATACTCTTAACTTGCATTTCCATGTCAGTGTACTTTTTTCATACTCATGGACATTGTGAATCTTCTTCATGAATATCTGTTCAAATCAATTGCTTATTTTTCAAAACTTAGGTTATTTTGTTTACAAGTTGTTTTGTTTCATTTTGTTTGAGTATGGATATAAGCCTATCCATGGTCAGATAAAGTTTTTCTCTTAATATTTCCTTTCAGTCTTGTTTGTTTTTGCATTTTCTTTTTTGGTAGTGTTCTTATACTTTATGTAATGTGTTTCTTTTTTTTTACTGCTTTCAAGAATTTATTTTCTTTGTATTTCAGAAGTTTGACTATGATATATCTGGGATGATTTTCTTTTTTTTTTGTGGGATGATATTCTTGCTTGAAGTTGCTTGATCTTTTTGGATCTATGTTGATGTCATCCACAGAATTTGGAACATTTTCATAAATTATTCAAAAACAAGTTTTTGAGATTAAAATTTTCTTTTTCTGGGACTGCTTTGCTTATATTTTCTCAATAGTTTTTCAGTTTATGTTTCAGATTGGATTTTTTTTTTTTTTTTTTTTTTTTTTGGTCCTTTTGAGACAGAGTCTTGCTCTGCAGTCCAAGCTAACCCTGAGCTCACTTTGTAACCCAGGCTGGCCTTGAACTTGCAGCCATCCCTCACGTCTGAGCTTCCTGAATATTGGACTTACGGGTGTGCACCACCATAGCCAGCTAGATTGAATAATTTCTAATGCTTTAACTTGAAGTTTAATAACTGTTTGCCATCTTCAATTTGGTGTTGATTTAGTCCAAGATATATTTTGTTTAATTATTGTAAGCTCTAGAATTTCCTTTTGGTTATTTTCTGTAATTCATTTTTTTCCCATTAGAATGAATAATTATTATGTTCCTTTATTTCCTGGAGTACTTGAACATATGTTATAATACCTGATTTAAAATCTCTGACTAATAATTGCATCATCTGGGTCATGTTACTGTTTTGTTTATGGATCACATTTTTCTTCTTATAATCACTGATTTATTATTGAATAGTAGACATTATAACTGTAACATGACAGAAACTCTAATTCTGTTATTGTCTTCTAAAATGCAGTTTTTATTCCAGCAGACAGCTTGCTTCAATTCAGACTCCAAATTGTTGTCTTCTTGGTGTTGGAGAGCAACTGAAATCGTGCTTCATTTTTTTCTGCTGCATGATTATCGGACTCCTTTGTGTCTCTCTCACATGCTTGTAACTTAACAGTAAGAGAAAGCTTTGGTTAGATTTTTTTTGCATATATTGGGCTTCATTCCTTCCACTTTCCCTCTCAGGTCTCACCACTTGTTTTTTGTCTACACTTCCTACCCTTACCTCTGTCTTCTGATACTTCAAGCTAGTAAGGCAAGGCTACCTGAGCTCTTTGTGGATAGAGGTTGGGGGTGTATGTCAAG